AGAATTCCACTGGAGGTGATCGCGGGCGAGAGCAGAATGAATGGGAGTCTATGGGGGCTAAAAGGCTAAAAGTGTCTCTTTCACCTGCTTGTCGTTAAATTAACATAGATTTTATTGTTGATTGCGCAAGTTCAATAGATTATAAGCCAAAAGTCGAATGAACGAGTTATGTCCTTTTGATTTCTTACAGGTTAGGCTGTTGTTGGCTGGAACACGCTAGCATTCTGCTATTGTGTGACGTCATCACAGTTTTGAACGGATTTTTAGAACAGATGAGTGAACTTAAAAATGCAATTTTCAGCTGAGTGTATTAGCCTATCTTAGCCCTCCCCTTTGAATGCAACTTTCAAATTACTTGACAAAAAATTACATCCTGAGAAAAGTGGATTTATGGGGGTGAAACCCCATTGACTCCCATTCATTCTGCACTCGACCGCGCTGTTACTGCAGCCAGTCCAGTACCCGGAAGTAACCAGCCAGTGCCAATTCTCTTCAATTAGACATTCTCTGACTTGGCAAGATGTGAACTTTGAATTTGAACGGTACTTTGGCAGCGACTGATGACGTTTCACAATTATAGACAAGAACACATATTGAGAAACGGCTAGAGTCTCTCGTAAAACAAAAAATGCAAAAACAAAAAAAAATGATATAACAAATGAAGTATTTTGGGTTTAAGTTTTGTTTTGTTTTTTAACGGGCATCAGGAACAATCATGCATATTTTTGTTTTGTGGCTTTTTTATTGTCCATACTGATTCCGTCATCAGTTGTCAGCTTGTCATTTTAAAAAAAGATCTATAATTAAGTAGCAGTACATTTTTGGCAAAAAAAAAAACAGCAGTCTTGTCATCTAGATCATTGCTTTGTTTACTTTGCAAATGTTAGTTTTGTGATTTTTAAGCAGCCTCTTAATTTTGTTCTATTGCCTGGATTATTTGTTAAACATCATGGAATTATATCTGATCAAACTTTTTCAGTTCAAACAGTGAAAGATTACTTTCTGCATGTTGCTGGTCGGATCTCATGCTCTGATCTTATCTCTTGTATTTGTGTTTCAGTTAACGTCTGTGGTGTGAGAGGGATGGTTTGCATTTTTGTGCGGGGTTATGAGATTGTCACACAGGAGCTGATTTACTGGTAAAAGATGAAATTCAGCCAAAAAAATATTGAACAAGTGCACCATATTATCCTAACAATTGACTTCGAGTTAGGAATGGGAAATGTATGCTTTCACTGTGATATAATAAGACTTGTTGCATCTGGTCAAAAGCTTTATATGCAAGGCATGTTTGAGTTTCGTTTTATTTTATTTTTTTATATAATTACTATGAATTTTTGCTTAATGTGATAAATGTCAATACAAATTATTTTTCCATAATCTGACAGCTTGTCATGAAATTATTGAGATTGTGATCAGACTGTTAGTCACAATAAGTGACTGAGTCTAATCAACTGTAATTTTAGTAATTATTAATATTATCATTGAATGGTGGCACTTATCTTGGAAAATTGAAGTCCTGGTTAGAGCTCAACAAAATTGGACAGTTGAAGACTTGAGTCTCGATTTCTGTTGAGACATTCAGATGGTAGAGTCAGAATTTGGCGTAACCAGAATGATAACATGGATCCATCATGCCTTGTTACCACTGTGCAGGCTGGTGGTGGTGGTGTAATGGTGTTGGGGATGTTTTCTTGGCACACTTTAGGCCCTTTAGTGCCAATTGGGCATCGTTTAAATGCCACGGCCTACCTGAGCATTGTTTCTGACCATGTCCATCCCTTTATGGCCACCATGTCCCCATCCTCTGATGGCTACTTCCAGCAGGATAATGCACCATGTCACAAAGCTTGAATCATTTTAAATTGGTTTCTTGAACATGCCAATGAGTACTAAAATGGCCCCCACAGTCACCAGATCTCAATCCTGTTTCCATAGAAATGCATAATGCGCTGGTTGGAGATACACATTACAGGACAATGGCCTTCGAGGAGCGAAGTTTGACACATTATCATGGGTCAAGGTTTGATTGGTTTATATGGTCTGTTCACCCTTGCTTATACTGTAGATGTTTTAACGACATCATTATGAAGGGGAAATTACCTTTTATACACTCAGCCATTCAGTATCATAGTTTCAAAGTCACAGACTGTCACATCCCACAGGTGGGACGTTTTGTTTTCTGAATATGAGCATATTTAAGGCAAACTCAAATGAGAAAACCCAATTAGAAATAACAAGACACACTTTTCTCAACAAAGTGGGAACTGTTTAATTTCAGGAGCGTAGCCTGCATTATTTTAGCCTATACTCCCTTCATGGGTGAGATTAACCCCCAACACGTTTTATAAAACGTAAATTTATCCCCCGCACTTTTTCATAGGGCAAGTGTGTTCACAAGTTGAGGTTTTCGCGGGCTAATGTGAATGCAATGCATCCAGATTTCAAATTCTAAGAGTCAGGATAGTCTATCTACTTACGTGATGTTCACGTTTCCATGTAATCAGTCGCTCTTGCGCGTCACAACACGCCCATGCTCGCACCCACGCCGTATTCAGCATTTTCATAGAGGTCGCAATGACATCAAAATGAAAAAAAAAAAAAATGATGGTGTTGCACAATGATGAATAACTCTGTCTATTTCACTTGTTGAAAGATTAACAAGTTTTGTTGGAATATTACAATATCTATTTTCAGTATTTTTTTTATTTCACATATATTTTATCAAAGTCCTAGATTTGAATAAAGATGTTGATTGTTAATTGTGATGGCCAGCCACTATCTTGAATAAGGCAGTTGTAACATGTAGGCTACATGATGATTACCATATAATTCGGTAACACTTTACAATTAGATAAAGTTTGTAGACAAACTTTAAGTTGTCTTGAAAAAGACTAAGTGTCAATAGACAGAGTCAGAAGTTAGTTTTATTGTTGAGAGTGAATGACGCAGAAAATGCCAAGGAGGCTTCAGTTCAGAGGTGAGGGGGAAAATTATTATTATTTTTTCCCATTATGCATTCATTATGTTTTATGTCTTCACTGCCTCTCATTGAATCTCATGATTTGGCTTAAATTTGGAGAAAAAAGCCTTTGTTGTTGTGTACCATGTACGTATTGTATGAATGTGTAAAATGAACGGGCTCAGCTCAAGCCCTGAAGCCCCGCACCTTTTTTTGAGAACTCCGTGGAGAATTATGACCTGGGAAAAATATGCTGTAGTCTAACCTTGCAGATATTTTTTTATTCTCAAAATCCACCTCTGAAGCTTGACTCTACAGCATTCGAAACATTTAACAGGAAATATTATGTATATTGCTTTCCTAAACGGAGGAACCTTTTCTATCTGATGTCATTCTTGCAGAATGTAAGTAAAGGTTATTCTTTATCCCCCACTAAACACCAAACCACAGAAAAACAACCAAAAAAGTAGGTTTAGTAAATTAATAGTGGTAAAATAAACAACATGCTGCATAGAAAGCCTTAAAGGTCAACTAGACTCGACTGTACTAGTTTTTTAAGCAAGTTTAAACACGCAGATTCTTTAATGTCCGTCACGTGACTTTCTGAACCATATCCTCGACACGCACTCGACATGTAGGGATTGAGTTGCTGGATCAATCCATGCTGGAGTATCGCCGGACTCAACTTATCACCAGTATGAAGAACCTTGTACTAACCTTTCTTTTCTCATTAGTTGTGCACGGTAAGTGTTGAGTTGTTTGTTTGTTTTGTTTTTTGATTGATTTTTTTTAACGCTCCAATATGCGTCTGGTTTGAGTTGCTAGGAAACGTGTTTTAGGAAGCGTTTCCGGGTTTGAAACACCTAATGATTTTATCATAGTTTTTG